CTCTTGCTTTGTGCCACATCAGAATTTTTCTGTGGTAGCTCTGCTTATCCTGCAAAGTGCAATGACACTGCTTCAGGGCCATTTTGGCTCCCCAATCCCCACAGCTAATTAAGTGGGAAGTGGAAGTAACAGTGTTTCTCTTGCACCTGACCAAGCTCTCTCCAGTCTCTGTGTCTGGGAAAGAGCTTTGCAACTGCATGTCTGCTGACCACAGGCCTGTGGGGGGAGTGACATGCAAATCCGTTCTCATTAACGTTTGGGGTTCTGCTAGGTTCTTTCCACTGACTCTTCTTTTCTGTAGATTCTAGGTTTATGTCAAGGAATGAGCCTTCCCTTCTGACCTCTAGCCTTTCTTACTGAAGATCAGGCATATATGGAAGGCCCTATAATCTTTCTTTACTTACCAATGAGAATCAAAGTCAAATATAAAATTTTACAAACTTGCTCTGTATTATTGCTTGAATTGGTACAAAATGGTACTGACTCAATGATGCTTACATATTAATATCAAAAGATGTTATTTTATCATTGTATTTCTTATATACTCTACATAAAATGGCAGAGACTACTGTCTGTCCTAGGTAGCAAGGACAATATAGGGCACAGATAGAAACCAGAATTCCTGATTCCCTTTGACTAATTTTATTATCTGCCAGACTGTGAACTCCACCACAGCAAGGACAACATATTAGTCAGTTTTCTAAAGTCCAGGGCATGACATGAGGCCTGGTACGCAACAGATTGTTAAACTGAAATAATGCATCTTTGTTTCACTCTTCCCAAACGTAGCTTTTTAGGGGACATCTCCTATTTCTGCTTTCAGATTTATGGAGCAATTGGCCATGAGATCCCATAGAGTGCAACTGTGGAGATTCCGCCCCAGCTCATGGGAAACAGCATGTCCAGGCTTCTGTCTCTGTCACTGAGCCAGATGAAGCGCGGCTGTGTGCGTGGCACAGCTCCAACTACAATTGAGGGAATACCTCGGTTTGGCAGGCTCGAGATACTTATACCTTGAATAAGCCATAGTTGGGAGTGGCCTTTCAAAAGGAATGCAGATGGATGCAGCCACTGTGGAAAGCAGGATGGAGCTACTTCAAAAAATTAAAAATGGATCTGCCTTTTGACCCAGTGATCCCGCTTCTGGGAATATATCTGAAAGAACCCCAAACACTAATTTGAAAAAACACAAGCACCGCTATGTTCATTGCAGTGTTATTTAAAGTGCCAAGATATGGAAGCAGCCAGTGTCCATGAGTAGATGACTGGATAAAACAACTGTGGGACATTTATACAATGGAATACTACATGGCGGTAAAAAAGAATAAATTTTTTCCCTTTGCGACAGTATAGATAGACCTGGAGAACATTACGCTCAGTGAAATGAGCCAATCAGAGAAAGAAAAACACCATATGATTTCACTTATATGTGGAATCTAATGAACAAAATTAAAAATTTTTTAATTGGTTAAAAAACCAATAAGGAGAATAGAAACAGACTCATAGATGGAGAAAAGATGACAGCGAGTTAGGAGGAGATTACGGGGTAGAGGGACTGAGCAAAAAGGAAAAAGGACTCATGGACATGGACAACAGCAGGGTGATTGCTGGGGGAAGGACAGTCTAAGGGGGCTAAATGGTAATGGGAAAAAATACAATAAAGATTAAATTTAGAAAAAAAGGGGATTATTATGGCTCAGTGTGATTTAGATAGAAAAGGGGAGGCTTTTGAGAAAAAAAAAAGCCTTTGGAAAATTTTACTGCTGATGGGAATAAAAAAAGAGCCGCTTAGGAGGCAGACTCTAATACTAGACTAGAAAAACATGGCTTGTGTGGTAAAATGTTTCCCAAGGTGGCTGCCAACAGTGCTTTCCATCTGTACATACATTATACTCTTCCTATCAAGTGCTAAAGTCTGTGATTCTCTCTCCTTGAACTGGAGTTGGCTCTGTGACTTGCCTTGACCAACAGGATTGGATATAAGTGATGCTGTGACTTCTGCGGTAAGGCCTTAAAGGCCTTACAGGTTTTGTTTTTATCTTCTTAGAAGCCAGGTGTTATGTAAGAAAGTCTGGGCTATTCTGCTAAGAGGCCGCATGGTGAGAGAAAGTTCCTGGAAGATCAGAGTCCATTTGGAGAAGAAATTAGGCTACCCCGTTAACAGGAAGCACCAACTGCCAGACATGTGAGTGAGGCCATCTCAGATCTGTCATCCACAGGTGTGCCTCCCAATTGACACCACACAGAGCAGAGATGAGCCACCCTGTTGAGCCCGGCTTCAATGCCTACCCTGAAGAATCATGAGCAGTAAAATGATTATCATAAAGTTTTGGGGTCATGTAGCCACAGATAACTGAAACAGCTTCAAGGATTGGCCAGGGGATAGTTTGACTCCTGTTGACATTTGTGTGGCATCTTCTGTTGTTATGGCAGTGGAACTAGGGATGCATACAATCCCAGTAAAGTTTGAGATTGCCTTAGCCTGACAGAAAAATGAGAGTGAATGGTTAGATATTCCTGCCTGGGGACCATGTAAAGTAACGGTAGGTTCTCAATCCAGAGCCACTTCAATATTTTCATGTGGTTGGGTTTGGCATTCAGAAGGCACAAAGATAAAAGGAGTCACTAGTATAGTGAGATCCAGATGTCTTAGAAATTGCTGTGTGAGTTCGTAAGAAAAGGCACTAAGGAGGTGCTGGGTAAATTTCTAGTCCAAATTGCCAGACTGGCTTTGCCTGTAGGTGGTGTTACGGTTTGAGGCTGCAATGCTAAATTTGGATATGGTGACTCTCAGGCCAGAATCTAGGTTCCTGTTTTGCTCTTTGTGTCAAGTCCTTTGCCTGTGATTCTACTCTGTCTAGTGGGAAGACCCAGCCTTGCTTTTATCAGTCTCTTTTCCTGCTGATTAATGTTCTGGCCTTGAACCACAGCCTGTTAGTCCTGCCACATGATGCCAGTGTTTTAGCTTGCTGACATCACTGGATATCACCTGTTCAGGACTTTGTCCTTCTTGTCTGTCCAAACCCCTTTTGTCTCCCTGTTAAGACCTCCCTGCTTGCCTGGACTACCACCTGTTGTTTGCATATATCCGTATGGTGCCATGTTTTATATTTTCTTTACTTCCTTAAAGCTCCTGGAACTTGATTTTTCTACTATCAGTTCTTGCCAAGCTCTCATCGAATCTGCTCCATTCCACTGAAATGTTGGGGCCATGTGAGACTGTGTCCAGAATACAGAGTCTAGTTCTTCTTCCACACAACAGACTTTACATATTTGATAACAACCTTTCCATCACCTTTACTCATCTGTTTAGGCTAAATCTTGCTTTTTTCCTGCATTATCAAAGTCACCCAACTATGGATATAATTTAGCTTGTCAATATTCCTCTTAAAAGGCGGCATACAGAAATGATTCATTTGCTTCAAAGGAGAATATAGTAAGGATATTATTTCCTATGATAAAGGCATATTTTATTAATTATTCCTACATTTATATTATTATTTTGCATTAGTATTTTAAAGAGTTTTCATCAGGAACAGACTACAGTTTTATGGGCCATAAAGCTTATAAAACATAGGGACTCTCTTTAATAATTTTGTTTTTTATAAATATATAATTAATTTCAAGACCCATGAAAATGAAGGATCCTGAAGCTTAAGTTTTTGTAAGTTTCATTGTAAATCTGCCTCAAAGCTCCTAATAGTATTTGTCTGGTAAAATTCCCAGGTCTTCTTTACCAGACCTGCTACCTAATCAGATTCTTTCTGTACCAGTGAGTCTTAAGTTTAACTTGGGTACCTAGCATATGGGGGATTAAATAAGTTAACATAGGTGAGGGACTTAGAACAACATCTAGCACATATAGCATGCAATAAATAGTAGCAATTATTATTTTTATTACTCACCAGTAGAACCTTAGCAAATAATTTATTTTCCTGACTCTTAATTTTCTCTTTGATATAATGAAGATAATACTTGCTCTGATTCTTTATAAGTTATTGTGAAGATCAAATGATAAAATAGGTGAACGTGCTTTGTTAACTGAAAAGCATCATGCACATGGAAGGCATTGTAGCTGAGGTTTCATTTGGCATTGTTAATTTTAGAAAAGGTTATGGTTAGAAAAGAAAAGAAGACTTTACTTTGGTGGAGGTGGAGTCACTAAAGACCTCAGTAAAGGTGGGAGGAGGCAAAGGACAAGAGGTACAGATGCCAGAGGCAATGACCTGCACATCCTGTTGGACATGCAAACATTCAGAGAAGTAAAATCTGACAGAGAGCATGTAATTTACACGAAAGGAAAGAACTGGGAGGTATTTGTGTGTGTGTGTGTGGCTTTCCACAATGGCCTTAACCTAGGTCTCCAGCCTCTTTTTCAGCCATATTCTGCTCTGCAACCCAGGCTCCCAGGCCTGGAGAAATCCTCTCACACTTTGGGCTTAGAAAAAAGCCCCTGCTTCCTGGGGTTTCCCCAATTCCTCCTGTTCCTCCCACAGGAAGACTAAATTGTTCCTCTTCAATGCCCTCTCTGTGACAGCACTTCCACTCTAGACTAAGAGGGACCCAGTTTTCCTTATTTCCGTGTCTCCAGGGCCTAGCCTTGCCTGCCATTGAATAGGTGTTCAAAAAGGTTTAGTCAGAGAATTTACTTTGGAGAAACAAGTTTTAAAAGTTGATAAAAGGGCATTTAAGGTTGGGATTCGCAAGGAACAACGCCTTGCCCAACCGCATAAGCACTCGTTATCCCGGGCTGCTTTGAGGGTCAGATGTCCTTCCAGCCTGGGGTACCAGGCGACGGATCTCAGAGGATCCCGCGGGAAGGGCAGCACGCACCGCCTCGGGGGCGTGGTCTGGGAGCAGCGGGGCGTGGCGAGGCCCGAGGGGTTTTCGTGCCGGGGGCTCGTCCGGCGGGGGCGCGGGAGGGGCTTCCGCTCCGAGGGGGCGGGGCCAGCGCTGCGAGTCCTCTGACGGCCCCAGTCAGGGAATTTCAATTTGAAACCTAGCAGAGGGAGGAGGCGGGCGCGGTTGCGGAGAAGCTGGGGCTGAAGCGGGACAGGTCCCCGCGGCGAGAGAGCTTCTGGAGTGCGGTGTCCGGGTAAGGAAGCATGCGGGGCTGTGGAATGGCGGGCCTAAGGCAGTGGAACCCGGGCCCACTGACTCGTCCTGCGAAACTGCAGGGGCGGCTCGGATTTTTCCTCTGGCTGCAGCTGGGAAGCTGATCCCAGGCAGGAAGCGGTGGCGGGACGGTCCCACTTGGGGGGAGGGCGGCCGGCTTTGGGATTTTCTGCAGTTCCCTCTCCTCTCCTCCCCGTTTCTGCTGGACCCCATTCCCTTTCTAGAGTGCGGGTCCTGTTGCTCCCGGCCAGATCCTCGCTTCTCCGCTCTACTGTGGATCCCTCTCCCCCCTTCCTTGGGAGCCGGGGCCAAGTCTTGTCGTAGCTCGGAGAGGTAGGGATACGGTGAGGACTGTGTGGGCTCCGCCCGCGTGCCATGGGCTCAGGGTCTCGCGCCCCGATCCCGAGGAGCGGCTGGAGCTGGAATCCGGCTCCATCGGGGCGCGGGCCGTGATGAAAGAGCGGGTCTTGGCCAGGAGCAGCCGCCCGCCTTCGGCGCCTGGCGATGTACGCCGGGGTTCCGGGGACGCAGCAGCGGCAGCGGCGGCCTTCGGTAGTATGATTTTGGGAGAGGAAACGCAGACGGGGACGCTGCGCCTTCTCGGGCCATCTGCCTGTGTGGGCACTGCGAGGAGCCGGGCGAGTGCCACGCGCCTGTCCCACGCGCCCTGGGGGTCGAGCCCCGCGTCATCCCGCGCGGATGCGGAGAAGGACGCACGTTTTGCGCGCGGATCCTTACAATTCCGACAGCCTGGCCATCTTCCCGCAGATGGCATTTTTTCCTCCTCTGGGGCTGGAGGCAGAGGGTTAGAAGCATTTTTAGGTGAGCTGCAAGGGAAGGAGGAGGAGGAGGAAAACAGAACGGAACGGGCAGAGTTGGGATTGGCGTCCGGGACCCCATCCCCAGCCTGCAACGCTGTCCTAGCTAGCAGCAGGGAGGGATGTCTGCGGACGGACGTCGGTGATTATGCTTCCCAAGATCGCAAACTTCCTTTGAGGTCAGGTTTTTTAAATTTTTTTTTTGTTTTGTTTTGTGAGGTTAAAAGAGCTTTGGCCTAGAGTCTATTATTTTTGGGAGGGATCTGTATGTGGAGCCTCCCTACTGACCGAGGACGCCTTAAATTGAAATCTCCATCACCACAATCGCTGCCCCTGTTTTTAAGAGTCCTGAGTGGGTAGATGGGAAGGTAGGGAACCTAAGAAGAGCTGTGGATGTATCTTCCCTTTTCTGAATCACATCTTTTCCTCAGTGTCATGACCTTCTTGCATCTGAAATGGCATGTATGTGCCAGGCCTCTTGTTCTTATTGTTTTTCTTTATTCTTCCCTTTTTTTCGTTCCCTCTTTATTTTTCCCCTTATTTTTGTTCTTTTATCGGAATCCATTATTTCTATATCTCTACATCACTGTATTGAAAAAGCATTTTAGTGGGTGTCCTATTACATTTCCCCTTGGGTTTAACACTTGAGGGAAACCGAGTGAATTTGTTGGCCGCAGGAACTGGGATTTAAAATTCTCAGTCTTTCAACTGGTTTTACCGGGAAACAAATAGCACTTAATCCTATTCGGTTTCCGTTTGCAGGCTCATTGCTGTGGGAAATCACTGGGTTGCTCTTGCAGCCACTGATTGGGCTGCATTGCAATGCAATCTTGAATTGTGATAAGGGTAAACCCAGTACATTCTTCAGGCTGACACAACTTTTTAAGAGCTTGGCTGTGTCACCTGTCAGCTTGAGTGATCACTCCTATAATTTAATTTAAGAACTACCATCAAACTTCAAATATCTACTCTTTGGAGGTTATTGGAGAACTGTACAAGTGGAGATGGCTTGGAACAATGGCATGGATTTAGGGCTAATTTAATCCTATCCTGTCTTCCTCACTTCTTGGGCAGAATTCCCACTGAAGTCAGTAGTGGTCTTGTGTGCTGAAGGACTGCAGAGAACAAGAGGCTGCTCATTTAGAGTAACTGGAAGGGACAGTTTCTTTCCTTTTTAAAACATCCCCTTTTAAGAAAGACCTAGTCATAACAGTTCTTTAATCCTTTACCTCTAGTTGAAGTAGATAGAGCAGTGTGTGCAAAGACCTTGCAGAGAAAACATGTGGCTGAGTTGAGCTCCCAGTCTCAAATTCTTGATCTCTAAATTGAATAAGGGCTGCTTAAAGTGATTAAAAGCGATAAAAAATCATCATTTAATAAAGTTAGAATTTCATTTCAGTAAAATTATACCTGACTTGAAAAAGAAATTTAAACTGCTATGGACTATTTTCAACTAGGTTTGTGTATTAAACTGGGTATGTATACAACTGGATATGTATATTAAAACCTGAAATTTAATTCCAGTAGAAAGAAGCAAATTTTCAGATTTAGGAGACAAATCTGAAGAGAGGCCCACAAAAAAAAAACAATGCAAATATATAAAACTAGTAAATTCAGATAGCTCTTACTGTGTTTGGAGAGCTAGTAAAGTTTTTATATATAGTGACTTTCTTGGCCCAGCATTAGATTTGTGAATACTTGGAGGTTTCCAGGTTAACTTTGTGCTGATCTGAGTTGGTGAACTTGTTAGGTCCTTTGCTTCTTAATGTAACGCTCTTGTGGTTTACCCTTTCCAAATTACTGGTTCTAAAGAATTGAGTTTAGAAACCCGATCCAGCCACCAGATTTTAAAAATAGATTTTTAAAAATCATAACCATGTCCACGTGTACTACCCAACTACTTGCTTTCAACTAAAAATACTTGCAAAGATGACAAAGCAGTCCTCAACCAAAATATTTATTGGTAAAATTACTCTGTAATTAGTAATATTGTATAGTTAACTTTAACATCAGGTTTTGCTCTGAATCACCACTCTCATATTACTGTGGTAGAGAATTACAAAGGTTCTGTCTTTGCCATTTTATTTAGGAATGTGGGGTTTATATTTTATATAACAGAATGCTAAATATTTTTGAAGACTTGACTGTTTCTGTTTCCACAGGGAAGTATAAACCCTTTCTTTTTTCTTTTTTGTACTGAAGTAGTCTGTTTAAAAGCTGTGTGTGGACTTTTTGAAAAGTATGAATTGCTAGTCTTTTTATAAAGCAATAAAATAGTTTATAAGAATCAATATTGCTGAGGGTCAAATTTTGCATTTTTAAAATTGGTGTTGTTTATTTGGAGAAAACAAAGGATTTGTGCCTACCTCCTCCCCCTTTTATTTAGAAACCTTTTCAGGGGCCTTGTTTGCTTTTTCAGATTCAAAATTACTGTAGCTAACCATTGGGCACCCTTACAGATTTAAAAGCCTCAAGTAAATGTTTCTGCTGGCTGCAGTAGTTAGCGAATACTAGCCAAACCCTAATTTACTGCCCTTTTATAGAATCTTGGAATCTCAGGGCCAGGGCCGGACCTTTAGGAGTCAGCAAATCCATTTTCAGTCATTGCCCCTTCCTCTCAGCACACATACATGTCCAGCACCTTTGGAAGGCCAGAGTTAATAGAAGATTTGTAGATGATTCCTCCACAGATTCCAGACAGCGTCTTCTGGGATTGCTATGTTTTGGCACAAACCAGCAACTTGATATTCATAAGATTTTTATAATTCCTCTGACTGGGCAGTGCCCCAGATTAAAATCTAAAATGGAATCAATGTCTGGTGTCATTAACTACAGGGCCTCCATTTGGCCTCCAAATATAAATAATATAGTTATTTAGAAGTTACAGGTAAACCAAAAAGCACAGAAAAAAAAATTATCTTGAATAGCAGCTAGAAATAACTGATTGTGATAACCAATGCTTTCTAAGTCTCCCACCCCCCATAAAGTGTATGTGTATTTTGTATGAAAGTGGGAATATTTTGAAAGCAGGAATATATTGGGTTGGTCAAAAAGTCTGTTTAGTTTTTTCTGTAAATAAAAGATACATTTTCCATTTTCACCAATAACTTTATTGATTTGGATATTGAGTATGTTGGCTATCTCCTGTGTGCTGTAACATTGATTGTTCTCAATTAATGTCTCAATTTGATCATCATCAACTTCAACTCCATGGAGCATCGTCCAGTGAGAAATCTCCAGCACAAAACTTCACAAACCACTTTTGACACATTTGATCAGTCATAACTCCGCCTCCATTCACTGCACTAATCTATTTCTTTTTTGGGTTTCAGTTGCATTTTTACCTTTCTTGAAATAGTAAAGCGTAATATGCCAAAAATGTTTGTTGTTTTCTTCCATCATCAATATTAAAACGGCTACCCCAAAATTCATCAATTTTGATTTTTTCTTAAATGCATCCTGATATGACAGCTGTCACAATACAATCCAACAAAATTGTTTTGAATAAAGTGAAAGAACTAAGTGCGCTAGGGCCATCTTAACGGGAAAAAACAAACGGATTTTTTGACTCGTACAAAATATACAGACATAAACACACTTTAAAAAATATATACAGTGGTACCTCGGTACTCATGGTTAATTTGTTCCGGAACTTGTGACACGAGTGCCGACACCGAGGAGTACTAGATGATGAATCATTTTCTCTTGTGGGTTGTGTTTTGTGACACATACAAGTTCTAGGAAGTGGGATGAGTCCCGAGCAAGTGCCGAGTGACAAAACCTTTTTATCTTGTCAAAATGCAATGAGTACAGGATTTGACGAGTTCTGAAGCCAATGAGTACCGAGGTATGACTGTATATTTGTTATGTGGAGACCTATAACATTGCTTACGGTTAATAAATTTGATGAATCAATTCATTGAACCTTTATGTAATATATTAGAGGTGCTTTTAGTGAAGATTCTTTGAAAGTTGGAGTTGACTTTGTAGGATTCGGTACTGTTACACATAGAAATGCCTGTCATACAGGTAATATTTTATATAGGGTATTTGCTTTTCCTTCTACTGGATGTTGTTTCCTCTTGTTTTGTGGTTGGCTTGAGATCTATGTGTGTTTCTTAGATGCATGTTTTTCATGTCTGGAAGGGTAGATAATCTATAT